ATAATAATAACATGTAAAATATTATATGTTATAATTATATTTCAATATGTAATTTTATTTCTTGTAAAAAAGTATTTAAAGAAATAAACACTATATATATTACAGTGGAAATGTTATTTAATTATTCAAAGTGCGAATGTTGTACAACTAAAAGGAATGATGTTAATATAACATTGTATAAGTTATTACCCGCCAATCTATGTAATAAAATAAGTGAATATGATGTATATTGTAATCAATGCTGTAAAACAAGAGACCTTGAAAAGTTGTTTGTTGAAGAACATAAGGATGTGGGATATACAAAGTTTCAATTACAATTGACATTCTTTATGAGATATCAAAAACGATGTCCTGTATGTTTTTACCATACAATTGCAAGAAAGTCATTTGAAAAAGAAATTGATGAGTTCTTCAATAATAAAGATTTGATTAAAAGGTTTGGAGGGACAAGCGCAATTAAACCATATAAAGCATTTGTTAAAAAATTTCGAGGCATGTTTGATGCGATTGATTGGCATTTATTAAGTAAAGATAAAATAAACAAGGTCTTGAATGAATTTAGAATAACTAAATATCATGTATGGTCTTACTACAACACTAAATATCAAGTATGGCTACTAGTTAATTTGTTTTTCTGGGAATATATTTATTCAATAATAGGAAAAGACAATATCAAATATATAGACATTGGCGATATTGATAAATATGTAGATTACATATTTGAAGACATTTTTCCTGACTATAAATGTAACCCATAATTATTAATCATACTATAATAATAACATTTATACCCTTACATGTTATAATTATAATGTAAGTATAGCGTTTTATATATTGAAGATAAAATCCTACAAGGCGGGCCACGCCCCAAAAAAATATATGATGAAAGTGATGAAACGAAGGAGGGGAGTGATGTTGTTGCTGTTCTATTTTTTGTCCGGGAAATGGACAAATCGTTTTTAGACAGTTCGAATATTTTTTTGATGACAAATATTTTTTGCAATATATTTTGCAAAATTTCTTTTTTTGAAATGGATGAGGTGAGGAGATTGAGGAAATGACATTTTGGAGGGTAGTTGGTGAAATGAATGAGGCGAGGAGAAAGGAGAAAAGGATGGCGAAAATTTTGGAAAAATGATGATAAAAAAACGGATGAGATGGACAGAAAGGAATGTAGAAAAATGATGAAAACAAATAAGGGTAGAAGATGGAAGATGAAAAAAAATGTAGGGTGGGGGGTATGTATGAAGCAATTTATTTGCGGGGCAAGGCCCCCGACTACTAAACCACCTGGTCACCGTCAGAGCCCATGGGCCCCGCTCCGCCTTCCGACTTCCCCGACTTCCCGAGCCCATGGCTCCAGCCGGCCCGAGCCCCGCGAGCGGGTCCCGCGAACGGCTCGAACTGGAGCCGCGGCGGCCGCGGGAGCCGAGCGAGCGGTGCGTCGACGTCGAAGTCGGGAGCCGAAAGGAAAGCTCTGGTTTATTCGTGGCCAGTTTTAACATGAAACCCTTTTATCACATGGCGTAAGGACACCTCTGTGAATTTATTGGATTCCAGATTTAAAAGGACAGCTCTCATCATTGGGTTCTTTTCTTAACATGGCGTGAAACGCAAAGCCTGAGAGTTCCGGCTCCCCGAACATCTTTCGGGAAACCATGGGAGAAAGTGTGCAACAGGTCCACGGAACCTAGAGTTCCGTGCGGTTTGGGAGGGGCCCCCAGTCTCCGCCAATTCCAGGCCATTGTGGCCTAGGGAACCAAGGGCTTGCCACCCTAACAAAAGGAACATGGCGAAGGGTTACCTATTCTAGCGGTAGTCAGCATTCACTGGGCCCGCCAGAAAAAAAAAGGGAACTGCCGGCCAGGTTTGAAGAAGTCCGCCTTCCTCTTGCGCCATAGGCTTCATTTCCTGGATAGTGAGCCTTGGCTGAGTGACAAGCAACCCCCAAGCCCTCCCCTCCCCTCACCCCGCTGCCCTATCCCTGGCCCAGGCACATCTTGGCGATGTCTTGGACGTAAATTGAAACACGCTGCACGATCTTCTGCTGGTCCTGCCTGCGGCCGTTGCAAAACGTCGAGGCCGACATACCACTCCCGTGGTCGTTCTTGTGGAATCCGTGAGAAGCCATTGCTTTGGGAATTGGACACCCCTTTTTTGGTTCCACGCTAAGCTAGAGGGGCGCAGATGGATTGGCTTCAGTTTGGGTTCTACTTCTTTGCCAGTGGCACGCCTCTATGTTTAAAACAAGGGCACCAAGGATGTACCATCATTTGCTCAGATGGTGTGCAATATCTGAAGAAACTTGTTGATTTCCCCGTAAGCCAACCCCAAAGGAGTTCCTCTCAGAAAAGAACACACAAAGAAGTCGCACTTAAAGGTCTATAAACGGGCATCCATTTCCTGCTTGGGATTTGAGGTGACATCTTGCGACAGCGTCGGCTAAAAGCAACTGGGCCAGAGGTGCCATGAGCACGACTCTTGCCACAGGAGGTAGGGGCCGAGAATGCCAAGAAGCGCGTCAAAAGACGGCGCCATCTTAGCGGTTCGCCGCTAAAACCAACTAGGGCATGAACAAATGGGCGCATTCCAGACTTCATGGTCTTGCCCACAGGCGGACTAGTGCGAAGGGAAGAAAGTGACCAGACAGCCATGGTGCTAGAACTCCAGTTCACGCCATTGAGCTCTTGCGTACACGACCCAAGCTTTGCCCCCCAAGTGAAGCAGGGCGAAATACACCAAAACCTGCTTGCTGCTTTTCAAAGAGGACAAAAAGCAGCTGGGAAAAAATGTGGTTTTTGGAGGGTTCCCTCTTCACCTAAGCAAACCTAGAGAGCTCTTCTTCCGCGATCTTGCAGAGCCACAGGTCTGTCAAGGATCTTCGCCGTCATCGCGCAAACCTCTTGGAGGAAACCACCAATTTTGTGGGACACCCAGCCTGCTTTTCGTTGGCCCCTTTCTGTTTGCGTTATAAAGCTAATAGCCCTGATATTCAAGTCTGCCGCAGCATCGTTGCAAAGCTGACTGGGCTGCCACGAAGCAGAGCGCAGGCCCATGCTATCCCATGCTACAGCATGTATCCCAAAAGATGCCTGACGAAAACATAACTCGAGGTTTGGTTGTCTGCGGACTTTCCATGACACCTTGCGAAACATGTCAAGGCATGCTTTCAGTGCCGCTGATTTGGTGTTGACGCACCTCCAAAGCCGCATCCTTCCTGCTGCCTAGCTTACCAAAAAGCACCAGCCAAGGGTAAGTGGCTCCGTGCCCGGTGTTCAAAACCATCAAAGACATCTACAGGGGTCACTAAATTTCCCCTTAGTTGCAATTTACTGGTGGTGGTTTCCATGAAAACTGCCACTCAGCTCTTCAGCGACCCTGGGAAAAAAGGGAACCCTTTTTGGCAAAGACCATTTTTAGTGGGGCAGCCACCCCCCCCCCCCAAAAAAAAAAGGGAAAAATCATTGGTGCCACTGAACAACTGAGGCCGCTTTTGGAGGTTCCTCAAAACTCCTGACCTACTGATGGTTGCGAAATCCCTGCACCACCTAAGAAACCCTGGAATGATTCGATTCCCCTGTAAATACCAATGAACAATGGTTTCCAATACTTTCAAAGTGGTGCGAAATGGATTCGGTCCATCCACAGTATCCCCGGGCCTCGAGCCCCGAATCCCCATCTTTTAGGCCCGATTGTCCCTGCGCGGCGGGAGCCTTGTGCTCAGAGCGTTTCCCGGCGGGTTTCTGTACGAGGTGTTGCCGACGGACGCCTGTTCCCCGTACCGAACCGCTTGAGGATACCCTCATCCGGGTTCTTGTGAAGGAAGGGCGCAAGGACAAACCTGAACTTGTGTTGGGGGGTTGCGCCAGGAGACAGGCCCAGTAGCCTTGAAGCGGGACGAACATCAAGCCAAACGTGGACACCACTGGGACGCGCGCGCGAAAGCAACAGAAGAACGGGGAACAGGCAGCCATAGCAAGCGGACAACCAGGCACCAGAAGGAACTCAGCAAAGAGTTGTAAAGCCGCCCGCACATGCTCGCGCAGCATCCTGAGCCGGAGCAACTCTGATTCAAAGTGTTTCTTGTCCTGGCTGACTTCAGGTTCAGAACCACCTATCTAGGCTGATTGTAGCTTCACCCGGTTACCGGGCCATAAAGCCTGATCAATTCATCATGAAGATTCCGCTGTGAATGAGCATGGCTTTCATCTTGGGCAACCTCCCTTTTAGGGATGCAAGACATAGCACAACCAAAAAATGTTGTGGTACCCTCCTGCACTGAGACAAAATGTAATTCCCTTTGTCCGTGTTTCAGACTTGAACAACCCCTGCGACTTTTTGGGAGCTTTGCTCCACTTCCTTCCCGCCTGCGTCCAAAAAGTGAACCACCACCAAGAGCAGTGGGCAAATTAAACTGGCTGAGCAAGGGCCCAACCCCCAGGAACGCGACAAACCGCGCGTCGAAAATGGCCGAAAGCTTAACGCGGAAGCGCTTCCAGCACCCCCTCCAAAATGGCGCGCCTCTTGTGAGTTGTTCACTCATCAAGGGCCTAAGCCCTCAAGTTGAACATCAACCACTGGGTTTCGCAAAGGTCATGCGACGCTTCAAGTTGAACATCAACTGCAAGAAATCCCAAGAGGCAAGCACTCTTGCTTTTTTTTCTTATCTGTTCACCAGCTCTCTTTCATATCTGTGTCCCTCTCAAGGGCTTCGCTTCGCTGACGCTGAATCCCAGGATACGCACTGGCAACACGAAACTGCTTTGCTTACTCCCCTGCCAAAAGTGAAGAACTTTTAGTGGTTTAATTCGGAATACCCAGTAGTTGGCAAAATGTTGAATGTTTTAACGTCCAAGCAAAATGCACCAAAGTAAACTAAGTATTGGCAATCCTAAATTCCTCAAGTCCATGCCCAATTTCCCTGGAACTGTTCATGCTTCCCTTTGTTTGGGGAGGTTCTGGTCACGTTCAAGGCCCATCGCTGACGCCCGCTCAGACTCTCACACCATCAACTCCTGGCGAGCTGCCAACCTCAAGGCCTTCAGAGCAGCCGCAGAACCCCGGCATCATCCCGAAGATGCCACACTTTCTCCGTCCCGTGCCAAGCAACAGGCAATCAGAAAGTTGTAGCTGGGACATGTGCAATCTGAATATCTGAAACCCCCAAAGCTGGGAACGAGCAATTGACACCGTGGCTCAAGAGATGAATCTGGAATCCATGTTACATTGTGGGATGTGCACGTATTCCAGCATCATATTCTCACAATGTGAGCTCTCGGGGATGAATGTTGGCACGCGGGGAGCACCCACCAGTTTCAACTACATGTCTTCATGTCAGCCTGCTTTCTTTGGGCTGCACCAGCGGCAGGCCACCCTGACTGCGCTCAACTCCCTCGCCTCCACCAAGAGCAACAAGCGGTTGCAAACGAAGCAGAATCACGCGCTGTGGTGGCGGTTTGTGGCGAGCAAGTTGGGGAAACTCCCAACTTGAACAGGGTTGTGGGGAATGGAATCCACTTCCGTGATACTACAACAGAAAGGGCTTCCCAAAGACTAACCCTTCAAGGGGGAGATTCCAACTTGTATCACGGAAGTCGTTGGAAAAACCCCGAGTGATCAACCACAACCCTGCCCCGGAAGGTTGGGGGAACTCCCCGGAACCCTCGTTTTCCACAAAGTTTCGTGTTGTAACTCTGTAGCAAAACCATGGGTCCCTGCTATGGGTGGAAACTCTGCACCACTTTGAAACCATGGTTGAAACCACGATTTGCAGGTATTTACCGGGGAATCCTCTTTCCAGGGTTTCTTGGGTGGGCACTCTCCTCCTGCTTCAGGCCAGCCCACACCGCAGCCGCACTGCTGAAGGTGTTCGTCAGACCCGACTTTTGCAGCAGACCCTCCGTGAGGTTCCAAACCTGAGGTCCGAGCGGATGTGCCAGGGCCCAGGCGCCTTGTCAAGATGAGGCCTTCGTACACTGAGGGTCCAGAGTCGCATCTATCGCCTTTTTTGTGGGAGGAGTGAAATGCCGTGTCCGCTGAACTCAGAATAATCCCAAGCATAGGCGTCCTTTTAGGGGAAATAGATGGCCCTGGTAGATGGTTAAACCACCAGGTAAACCAGGAATCGCCATCTATTTTCCACCAAACCAACTAAAAAGGACACCTATGATCCCAAGTGTGAATTCTCACCTTAACCATGCTACAGCCAGCCCCGAAGCTATACGGTTTTAGATGGGGTCCAGGGGCCTGGTGTCCTTTGTGCTTCCCCTGCATATGAAGGATCGGCATTCCGGCAATGGGCGAACCAATTCCACAGCTTGCTGTTCAAGGAATGTATTTTTTCGGTTCAGTACATAGAAACCCCCGAAACCCATCCCAAAACCTGAAGCAAAGGATCCCAACATATAGCCCAGCGCGCCCAGTTACCATAGGCAACCAGGTATTGTTACCTCTAATTAGGTTTTACATGGTTTTACATGACGGTTTCCCCTGGTCACCATGGTGGGAACTGGAAGCACTGGGTAAAGCAAGGGATCCCAGCTACAGTTCTTTGCTCCTTTCTGAGCCCAAGCGCTGCATCGATGCCGCGATTCTCTTCCATCTCCTCCTCCTTCCAGGAATGAAGGCTTTGACTGAGCCCACGAAAATCTTAGTTGTCAAGTGTGGACCTAGAAATATCTCAGGTCGACCTTTTGGGACCTCTAAAACTGGAGCATGTAAAATTAGATCCGGTCAGATCCGGTCGATCCGTTACTGAAAAATGGAAGTTCAACTGGTGTTCTTTGGTCTGGCATCTTTTGGCCCCAGCGGCCCGTCCAGGGGAATGTTCATTCCGACACGCAGAAACGAGCAGTCAACACAAGTCCCCGACCATTTACGCCCGCATGTTTGTCTTACTTTAGCGGACATGCAACACCAGGTCCGTTCCAAGGCCCAACAAAAACGGAAACACATATACAAAAACAAGATGAATCAACTATCCATAGAACACATCTATTTTCACTCCTCACTCAAACCCTGTAAAGCAGCGCATGAGAACTAAGCCGGCTTTTCTCCGGTTTTCGGCTTGGACTGGGGGGGCGTCCTGGACGCCCAGGGCCCGGTCCACCCAGAACTTGCTGAGCAACCTGAGGGCCATCGAGGCGATGGTTGGAGCGTAGAACGTCTTCTGGGAGGTGGGCATGGTGGCGGTGGCGATCTGCATGTACCTCCGATCCATGGGAAAATCTGACGGAAATCCGTCGGGGAAATCCGTTTTGGGAATCAAGAAAAGGCGTGTTCACATGAGGTCAGGGGGGCTATGAGGGGAGGGAGGGGGGGCTATCCCTGGATAAGCCAGGGATATGCCATTAACAAGGCCTTGCTAAGGGGTTTCTAAGGGATAACCCCGCCTCCCCATAGCCCCCCTTGATGGTCCATGAACAGGGCCTTTTTGGAATCAACCCCGAGCCCAGTGGAAATGTTGAAACTGTTGGGAAACCAGGGGTTTAAAGGCTTTTTTGGAGTACGCCCCCCTTAGACTAACAGATGGAAGCTCTCCCAAAGGGCCTCATGGAATCAAGTCTTCCAAAGGCTCCTGAAAGCTTCCATGTTCGCCTGGGGGAGGGTAGCTGGCACGACTGGGTGCCTGAAGCAAGGCACGACAAAGAATATATATATATATATAAAGAAAAAAAAAACGAAAAAAAAACGGGTGCTTGGCTTGAGGCCCAAAGGGGCGACCTCAACAAGAAGAAAGAACACGGCAATGACATGCTATCATGGGTAAGCTTTTCCTAGGTGAGCTCACATTAGTCATAAATATAAAAGTCACAGGCAGTCAGTGGGTTCCCTCCGTCTGACCTACAAATAACACTGAGAAGTGCACAAGTGTCAGCAACAAACCCAAGGGCACACAAAGACACATGCTGGAAGGTGATGTGCCAGCATCAGCGTGCAAAAGCACGCGGCGCAGAAATGAGCCAGGATGTGGGTGCCAACGCTAGCGGGTCCCGGTCCCCCCCCCTTTGACCAGTCCAAGCCAGGCTTTTGCTTAAAGTGCCCAAGCACTAGCAAGGTTTAGGAAGTGCCTGGATCGATTCCGGAGAGACCCGACATTCGCCTGGCGTCGATTTCTCCGGCGTCCCCAAGTGACTCCATTTTGGGTGTTTCTTCAGACCAAACCTTCCGACATATTTCTCCAAGGCGCATGCCCTTGGAGCGATCCACCATGGGGTAATACCCGAAAAGCCCTGCGTCCATATGGATGTTCCGCTTTCTGCAACTCTCGGTGAAGCTTTGCAGCTTCGGGGGGAAGCACTCGAAGTAGTTGCCTCACTGGCAACATGTGGCTGGGATCGTGACTCAAATCTAATCCAAAATCTTTGCACAGTTTGTATCTGACTTGCCCCAGCCAGCAGTAAACAAACGCAACAAGAACAACATGTGTTTCCAGGCAAGCCACTATAGTAGGTAACCAAGGAAACCACCTACCTTTTAACAAAACAAAGGAACATGGGGAAGGGTTATCTATTATACGGCTGACTGGGATCCACTGGGAAAAGTGTGAGTTTGGTCAATTCGGACTCCTGGCTGCAGGACACCAACATGTCCCTCAAAACTTGGCTCCCCGCTTGAACCGGGTTTCCGCAACAAGTTCTTTTAGGCACCCCCAAAAGGAGGACTTGGATCCATCAACTCGCCCCTCACCCCACTCCACCCCCACCCCCCTTTCCCTCCTGCCCTCTAACTCCACGCACGAAAACTGAAACCCATTTACAAAAAACGACTTGAGGCTGATGTTGACAAGCCCCAGAGCCGTCAGCAGGTTGATGCCCGTGAATCCGAGTTGCACATGGAGTAGTGGCCCAACAAGGTCACAAGGAAGGTACTGGCATTGGACACCTGACAGATTGAAAAGGATCGCGTCGCCGTTCAATGAGGGACATTTCCTGGTGGGATAGTGAAAAGCATGAAATTATGCCAATAACAGAAAATGCTGATATTTTTGCACACGGCCAAAAAATGTTCTTGGGTGGGTCAAAGGGGGACGTCCCGCAAATGATGGGGCTCAGCTCGCCCTAGCCCGATTCAAATCAATCTGACTTCCGCAGATCAAGGTTCGCTGGTTGCTTTCACGGCAGCCTGCAAATTTATTGGTGCAAGCTGCAAGCTGGCAGCTTGCCGCCCTGTCGAAGAATCACCAACTAAAATCAGAACAACGAAGGCACATGGCTTGGTTGCTGTTGACCCCCCCTGCAAAAAATTAAACCTTTTGGGGGTTTAGTGGAAAACCCCTTGATTTCCCAAAAAGGTTAAAGTCTAAAGATCCAACCCAATAGCAGTTCAGAATTGTCTTTGCAGGGACCCAGTGGTGTCCTCTCTGCGAAGTGCCACTGGGCGTCAGGAAATCCAAGGAACCGGGTTTTGCCCTTGGTGGTCCTCACAACTTCGCCAAGCTAAAGCAGCTAAAGGAGACCTAATCCAGGCTGCGGCCATGAGAGCTATGAGGACATGGAAGCCAATATCAAAATATGCACATACACAAATACACCTACGCACATGCACACATACAAATACGCATAATATGCACATTTTAAGCTTCTTCCTTCAAAACACCCAGGCTGAAGCTTCAAATTCGGAGCCTTGCATTTCCATCCCCGTCGCCTTCACCCCATCGAGGTAGTCCCGCTCCATTTCGGTGGATATCGCCTCAGGGAACAGCTCGTTCCCGACGAAGGCGCGCAAGATCCTGGCGTGTTGGTTCCAGTGAACCTCCGCCGTCAAGGGGCAGCCCCAATAGGGTGCCCCTAATATCGTAAAGGTTCTAAAAAAAACATCTTAGTCCTTGTCTCCATTTACAAGGGTTCCATTTTGGGTACCACCCGTTTTTGACCCACACCCATGTACTAAACTAGCGATTTCCCTCCTCCGACCCACGGATGACGTGCGTACAAACAGGAATAATTACATGGAAACAACTTTCTACCTGTGGAATCCCTAAGACAAGCACCTGGACCATTTTGTCAAGCCGGCGAATAAAACGACAGTGCAACCCTGAAGGCACCCCACGTCGAGACCCGGAGTGTGATTCTCAAACCAACAGCTGAAATACAGTAGGAGCAAACCAATGGCAAAGCATACTAGCATTAGTTGGAGGACGCAACGATTGCCGAGGCAGGCCCAAAAAAACAACAAACATCGCTAAATGCTGATTGATACCATCTGATAAGCTGAAGCCAAGGAAATAAAGACCCGATCAACCTTTTCAATAGCCTGAAGCGAAGACAAAGCTAGGAAGATAGAAGATCCACTGCGTGCAGAGAGCATCCGATCTGAAACCATCCATATCAATCAAGATAATCAAAGTCAAAGAGTGGCCGTCCTTGCCCACCAAAAAAAACAAAGAAACCCAAAACGCCAGCCAGCAACTGGTCGCTTTTTGCGTGTCGCGCGCCTTCAACGCAGAAGCAACTTGTGCACGGCTAGGATGTCTGTCTTTGCCGAAAAGCTTTCGTGGCGTTCAGGGAAACCAGAAAGCCAAAGGGACACTTTTTGGAAACCAAACGGGAAACCATATGGAAACCAAACCATAGGGAAACCATAGAGAAACCAGAAACTAGAATGAAACCAAGAAAGAGGCGCGCGAATCATTGGTTGATACCCCCCACTCCTGTCGTAGTCATCCGCTGTGGTCATCATGTTCCCCGCCAGCCCGGGATTTTCTCCACCCAGCCACTGAGTCGAGTTGAGCCGTAAGGGCTTGATCAGATACCTCGCCAGGATCACGTTTCTTTGGCTTGTACGGGGGGGGCGTTGCTTAAGGGAATTTGGGGTAGGGGTTGCTTTGTGAGGGGAGGGGAGGGGGAGGGGGAATCATCATTTTGGGGAGACACACGCAATGTACTGTCTGCTGTTCGGCTCACAACCGGGGAACGACAAGGGACAGTGGCCCTGTTGGTCCTTCTGCTACACGCAGCCAAAAGGGCGCGCACAGGTTCTACAGTCAGGTCAGCAGGAAGGTCGCATCATAGAACCATAAGCTTGCTTGAAGGACTTTCTACTGGGATTCGGACCGTTTAGGGAAACCACAAGTTGAAACCTTACCATGGCCACACGGGGAAAACATAGATGTTGAAGGTTCATGTTTTGCGACCACTTGATCAGAGCATTCACGTGGGAGGGCCTGAAAATTTGATCCGTTTGTCTCCCTGAGAACCAAAGGAAAGCGTTCGGATTGTGAATGCCACTGATGGGTCTCCCCAAGGCTCGGCTAGCTTTGTGGGACGAAGTTAGCAATCAGATGCGGAATTCCCCGGCAACGATGTAGCTACCCATGTAAGGTGTCTAAACAGAAGACTGTTCTCTTACATTCGCAACAGTGACTTTGTTGGATACAAGGGTTTGGTCTCAACATAGGGAAGCTCTCCAAAGTTGGTGGTGCCCTTTTGCTTTCTCTCAAGTCAAAACACGACGCAGACGGTACCTGCAACAAAGACTGGCCCATATTTCCTTGAAGCACACGGCTTCTTGGTCCGGTGGAGGCCAGCCAAGGAGTACCCCCTCCCCTCACATGGAACCCGTCTTCCCGGAGCCCGGTTCCATGTTCGCGGATGGGAGGGCAAGCGCATCCTTCCTGTTGGTTCTGTCTGCTGATTCATACCCATGGGAACGCGTGAATCATCTCACGTCTAAAAAACCGTCACGCCGGCTTCAGCTGCAGAACAAGCAGGTTGAAACAAAGGATAGAAACCGGCAACATTTTATGCCCCCTGGTCGGGTTTGACTCCCACTTTGCTGGAAACAAACCCAAGGTGTGGCACCGGTTCAAATCCTCTAGCCGGTCGCCTAGCCGGCCGTACCTGGAACAATGCCTGCCAGTTGCCACTATCAGGAAAAACAACATGCCAATCAAAAACAGCAACTTGTCATGAACATGTCTTCCCACAGAAGTTGTCATTCAAGAGCTTCCACCGCGCGCGAAGCGCAAAACACGCTTCTGATGCATCTGTGGCCGGCCGCTATTGACATCGATTGACATGTCTGCGCGTATCTTTTGTGCAGTTGCTCCGTGTCGGTGCAGATTCTTCGCTTGCCTTGGGAGCACTCCGCGTTGAAAGGCAGGTTGTTGTTGATGAAGGTCTCCGCTACTCTTGAAAGCTACCCAACACAATCTGTCACAATCTGCATGACCAGTGCGTTACACATAGGTCCTGCAGCCTTGTTGATACGTTGAACAGTGGACACTGCGCCGCAAAAGCTCAGAAGCACGTTGCAATGATACGCTCTCGTTTGACGTTGGAAGGGGAGCAAACATTTAAGTGGGGATTTCCCATTAAACCACAATCAGCAAAAATGCAAAATGTTTCCCAACAACCATGTTTGTCTTGCGCTAGCCTTCCAGCGCGGAAGCTTTGCAGGAACTCTCTTGAGAGTTGGCGCTGCTCATTCGGCCAAACCCAATTTGGGGAGCGCCTGCAAGTCTCGTGTCTTTGGAAAATCCCAGTCGGTCTACAGGACATCCGTGCTTTCGTCTGTTTGACCGATTTCACAGGAAACAAATACCTAGTGGCCATGGGAGTGGGAGAAATCAGGGCGCTCGAAACACATTTGCACCCCGCGCCACTTTTTTTCGGCCACTTCCGGTTCCCGAGTTCTTTTTACGGGCGCTTCGACGCCCGACGCCGGACGCACGCCTGCCTCGCCTCTGCAGCAGCTCCTGCGTCGAGATCTTGGCTGCGGACGCGGCCATGGCACCAGCCACCTGCGCGCGAGACATCGAGGCGCGTGCGCGAAAACAGGGCAAGAAGCTTGGGTGCGGTAACGGCCCCCTTGCAAAATGTTTTCAACTTTTTGGGGGGTTTAGTGGAATTGATTTCCCGAAAAGTGAAAGTCTCAAGATCCAACCCAACAGCAGTCAAGGAAGGGGGGAAATCTGTCAAACCAAGGGGTGTGTCACACTCTTGTCGGACCCCCTAAGAATACCTCCCACCAAAGCACACACTTTCTTGGAAAGGCTTCGCTCTAGTTGGTGATGTGCATCAGTGGGTTGAAGGTTCGGGGCCTCTAGCCGGGGAAAAGCAAAATAGATGCGCGTCCCAATCCAACCTCTTAAATAGCGACGCACCCGTGGCAATTGCGCCAAAAACGCATTTTCGGGGAAAAGTAAAATAGATGCGCGTCGGGCCCGCCGGCCGCAAATCAAAGCCAAAGTGGAGGCAAGTAATCAACTGGCTCGGGGATTCTCACAGCCAGGGCCCTTCAATTCAAAGATGAACGCCATTCTTTATTAAACGTGATTGAGGGGTCTTTGCAAGAACCCCAGAAGGGAACCCCTTAAACGAAAAGAGTCCCACCCATAGACTTCATTATGTTTGGCTACGTTCTCTGCAACAAAAAACACATCGCACGCACACACGCACACACGGACACACGCACACACGCACAACCTCACACACACACACACATACAAATGCGTCACGCCCATGCGCACCCTGCCAGCCTTGAAGCCAATTTACAACACACTTTGGCGATCCGATCGAGTCGACATGTCATCTTGGGAATCTTAGGCTGTCACTGTAAGTCTCTCAGGCTCGAACGGACCGCTCAGGTATGTCCGCGTGGGCGCTCATGATATCAGGGCATCGACCGGCCCCAAACTCTAGCCCAAGGAATCGTGGTGTGGCCATCTACCGAGAAAGTGGCTGCCACTGTGCGGCCCCGCAACTTGCAACTGGAACAAGGTGGATGCGGGACTAAACATGCTGTCTACTGGTCTTCCAGCTGCTGGGGTTGACCATCTTGGCAAGGGACCGCCGTCTCTAAACACATTGAACCCGCCATTGTTTAATCAAATCTCCTTTGGGCTTCCGTTCAAACGAGGGAATTGCCAGCGGGTCTGGTGGTTCGAATTGCCTTTCGTGCAACCAACCCTGACTCAGTTGCCCAAAGGACACAGAAACAGAAGTTTAACCTGTTGGGGCCACCAAACAGTGGCTGCCAAACAAAAACAAAGGTCAGATCCAGTCAGTTCGCTTTGGGCGGATTGGCTGATCTTGACGCCTGGAGGTGGAAGGAGTTGTAGGACCAGGTGCTGCCCGGCTCAAACTCGAAGGGCGCCTGCTGGTAGATCCTCAGCTTTCCGCAGGCGGGGCGAACCCCAACTTTTACTTGCAAGGTAGGCTGCGATGGACCCCTTCAAGTTTCTTCCCCTATTTGGCCTGCTCTTGCAAATAAATTCAGGGTTCATTAGCCGCTATGCATTGGTGGAGTACCAAGAATGTACACGTGTCCATCTGACAAATCAAGGCAAACGTACATGCCATAGACGCATGGGTCTGCCAGAATATGGCATCCCGTTGAGATACTTCAAAGACCTCCCTGTTGACCCAAGGCCAAGTTTCAAAGTCAAACGCCATAAATGCGATGCTCGGTTGGAAAACAGTTTGGAGCTCATTGGGACCCGCGCCTAGCTGAAAGGGTCGAGCACATGCCTGATTTAACCACTCGTTAAGGGCCCCTGGCCACAAATCAAGCAGAAGCAAAACACAGCACCAGACCACGTGACCCTTCAAGGGACTTGCATCCAGGCTTCATGAACTGGTGAAACCTTTACTCTATGTCAAGCCTCTTCGCCCCACGTCTGTCACACTGAAGGGTTCATCATTTCAATTCGAGTTCTTTTGGATTGCTTCAATGATCCCTCAGGGTCAACGCCTCGCACATGCCCTGACCGCAAAATGCGGCCGAGGTGCTCTTTGGCACAGGCCTCCGGGCTGTACTGAGAGGCATTGGCCCCCAAGCAGGGCACAAAGCCGGAGGCGTCCGGCCAGTAGAAACCTCCAACCCTCCAGCCACTCACAAGCTGGAGGTGACTGGGTCAATCTGACAAGGGCAGAACAAAGAGATATGAGACACACCCACGATCCCAACCACTGGTACAGCGTTGTGTAACCTTTCCTTCAATTTACCCAGAGCTACAAAGCTTCCTCTGATTGCTTTTTCCGGGGCGGGTGGAGGGGGGTATATAACGGTATATACAGTGTCCTCTGAGAATGGGTGTTTGTTTGTTTGTTGCCTGTTTGTTTTTTGCCTGTCTTTTTAAGGGTGAGGGGGAAGGCCCGAATTCACCAAATGCCCGCGGTTTTCTGTTCTCCAAGCGGCCGCTGGTAAAGGACAGAAGGTGCCGCAACGTCACTCGGCTGCGACTGTCCGAGTTGCTGGAGCTCCACCACGGAAAAACCTGCCGTGGGTATCCAGTTGCGTTTGGAGGGGGCTCTGCCCTGGTTGGCGGCGTTCAAACATGCGGCGCACACACGTTGTCTAATTGTGTGGGATTTGCTTTGAAGAGACGTTCAGAAACCCTTGAAAGACCTGTCAACAGCGCTGGCGGTATGCAGGCGCCGTTACCCTGCTTTTGAGTGCTAGCTATAGCAGCTATAAGCAGACTCTGCAGGGCTTTCCGCCAAATCCGCCAGGACGGGTCAAGTAAAAGAACTATGTTGAGGGACCTCTCCAGTAGAGAGGGTAGAAAAAGTTGGTACCCACTTTTTTTTTTCTGAATCGTCTATTTCAGTAGGAGAACCCTCCACCAAAAAAGAAACGGTCAAAGGGCACCAATCGCCGGGGGACCTACGCATACAATACGTCCAAGACCTTGTTTCATCATAGTGAGCTGGTTTTACCCCTCATGAGCGGGGTGAGAGCTGGGGCAGCTTGGGGGACCTGCGAACTATGTGACGACCTACAGGCCCAAAAGTTGAGACTGACGGAGGGAAGTCTCTCGTATTGCTCTTGCTCTCGTCGGGTGCTCCTTCAGAGCTATAGGAAGCCCAGCTTCATCTACAGAATGCTGGTTGGAGTTCATCTCAACCAGTCTCCCGAGTCAAAAATCACAGGTCCTTGGTATGTTGGACAAATGGCCACAGCCATTTAAGAGTGGCTCAAAATTGAGGAGCTAGGGCAAACCGCCGTTTTGGTCGTTGGTTCCATTGACCACGGTGACATGTTGGTACATTTTCTTGCGCCGCCGCTACTTCCCGTCAGTGCCATGGGAGGGTAGGCGAAACGAAAGCCCCGCCTCATGCGCAAAGGTGTCGAAGCTGAGATGGCCATCTGAAACCACGCCCGCGATGGCGATGGCGACGGGGAACTTGCCTACGATTGCGGCGAATGAGTATTGGAGCAAACCCAGGCTTCGGTCCCTGAACAACCACCAATTGGATGGTTCAAAAGGGGTCATTCCCTCATTCAATGCTGAGCATCATTGAAAACTTGGTTGGTGGGTTGGTTGGTTGGTTGGTTGGTTGGTTGGTTGGTTGGTTGGTTGGTTGGTTGGTTGGTTGGTTGGTTGGCTGCTTGGTTGGTTGGTTGGGCGGGTGGGTGGGTTGGGTTGGTTGGGTTGCTTGGCTGGTAGCCGGGCCAGCTTCATGTTTAAACATCCTTTTTCTCTGGCCTTCCAAACACGGATCTGGAATTTCACCACTTGTTTAGTTACCAAACCAGCGTAACCCAGCTGGGGCATGGGTTTCGCTGGGTAAATGCAAACGGCATCCTCAAAAGTACCTGCAAATGACTTGGATGTTCAAGCCTGGTTGAAAGCGTACCATGGGCTTTTCAGAACCCCCCCCCCCTACGTTCCAATTATTGAAAACTTCGCCCTTCGGCTCGAGCCGCTGGAAGATGCCATGGGCAAAGGGCTGGAGGTCTTGGTCTTTCCCTTCTCGAAGGTGAAGCGCCGACCCTGTGCCGTGCCCGCCGTGAAGGCCATGTCGCGGATGGGGAAGTAGAGCTGCAGGATGCCTCCCGTGGTGAACATTTGAAACGCGAGATCCACGGTGAATGAAACTTTCAGGTTTGGAATTTTGGCGGGATCATCAGGAACCAGGGTTCTTAGGTGGTGAGAAATGGATTTGGTGAATCCACAGAATTTCCATCACTGTCAGCTTCCGCTTTTGGTTTGGAGGGGTTTCCCCAACCTCCACAAAAGCCGGGCTTCGAGCCGGAACTCCAAACCAACTACTAGTAGCCACAGATCCAAACCACCAACTAAGGGAGTTGCCCTTGAAATACTGATTCAAACAAAGCCGGCGGATGGGAAAACGCCCTCAGGAGGTCGGCCCTTGGTCTAAGTAAATGACGCTTCACTTATCTGGGCTGCCCGTTTTCCGATCCCCCGCTAAAAGTTTAACTTTTAGCGGGTAAATGGAAACTACCACTAAACACTACAAGGCTAAAAAAGCTAAGGGACCGGATGGCTCAAGTTATATATGGTGTGTTTGGGGCCTCAAAGGCTCAACCCAGGGAGTATGTACATAGATACCAAAACCCTTCAAGCTGGGGTCATTATTTTGACTGTTTCTGGGGGCTATCAAAGTCAGAACAAGCGGTTGTTTCCCTTTAACCCACCACTTAGGGGGTGACTTTGATCATGGTAAAACAATGAGGCCAGTCCAGCTCCGGACATATCATCCAAATTGGCAGTTTCCCCTTGAGTATCCTTTTAAACCGATTCACAACACGCCCATATACAAGCCATGGTACAGCTTACTGGTTTCCCAAGAGGAGATGAGTAATTTGGGTGCCCATGAACCATCCGGACGTTTTGACAGAACCTGCTGGGATGCCCTAGGATACCCATTGGCTGGTTCAGTTTGGGGTCATTTTCAACCCACCGATCTAACCAGCAAGACATACGGTCCCGCCGAGCACCTCAAGTCATCACCCCAAGTTTGTCTCACAGGAATCGATCTCCGTTTGGTTTCCCTTTGAAACCACTCCAAAAGGGAGATCTCCAAAACACACAAACCCACTCATAAGCAATAGTCTACCTTAGTCTTCATGGACAAATTTGAGAATTGCCTGGATTTTGCGGCTGACATTCAGAGGGTCGTCCCTGTTTAGCCAAAACAGCCTAGGTATTTGGGAGTATTCGCAGGTCCTTGCAAAGCTCCCCTTGAGCTCTGTGTCATTCAATCTGCGCGAGTTTCAGTCGTTCATTCCTTTTGGACTTTGGCTTTGCGATTTACAATTGCATGATCCCTGGCAAGGAGTATGGCAACACATCAAGCAGCAAGGGAATGGAACTAGCTCACGAGTACCCTTGGAAGTACTCCGAAAAGCACATGAACATCACGGACAACCAGTCACACCCCTTTTGCTAGCCAATGAGCAAGCCAACAAAGAGATTTCTCGATGTCCAGCGCCTGAATCGAATCCCCGCTTGTTCCACAGTTCCCTCGCCTCTGAGGGGCTCCCATTCGTCCGCGGCAGACAAAAGCAGAAGGGGTAGGAGCCTGAAGATCATGGCTAAGGCTGTTCCCAGCGGCACGGGGCTCGCGAAAGAAGCTAAGCTGCAAGCCATAGAAAGGTGTGACGAGAGAGCGCGAAAATCGAAAGCAGGGTCAAACATCGCTCCAAAAGAAGACTCACTTTCGGTTGGCCCCAATGCTGCTGTTTAATCCCCGCAAAAAAAGGAACTATAAAAGGACCCCTGTGAATAGTACACATGGTTGGGATGTTTGTAGGTCCGGGAATTGATACCAAGAAAGCCTGTCGAACATAATTACGCAACCGCCGTCTTGGCTTGAATCCCAGGTTTGACCAATCCACAAAACGAGGTCCACCGGATCGCATGCGATCCTCGTAAAGGACTGCCCTCGGATATCTGCGGATTGCATGTCTTTCACCCTGGTGACAAGGTTCAACGTCCACGGCTCTGGGCCACGCCGAGATCAAAGGAAGTTAGAAAGATAAACATTCCCAGGTCCTCCAGTGAAAAGGTTAGAATAAGGGTACCAACCTTTTCTGTAGTCTATTTTAGTAAAGATCCTCCCGACCAAAAAAGGGTAAAAGGGCACTACTGGGAGACCTGGATTCACTCACTTGCCCAGTTCGAATCTGGAAATGAAAAACTGATCGCCTTTTTGAACCTCTTGGTGTGCGGAGCCCACCAGCGTTTTTCTTTCCCCATGGGTCCACTCCTGTATCACTCCCCAAAGTTTCGCTGGACAACCCGAACAGCCCACGTCAAATCCCAGATCTCAAGCCTTGGACGGACATCGACTGCGTTTTCCCAGCATTTGGCCAATCCAAAACAACCACTGGGCAGAACCTGTCATCTTCAATCACCACCATCTAGGTCCTCCAGTAGAGAGGTTAGAATAAGGGTACCAACTTGTTTTTCTGCTCTCTACTTTAGTAGGGGACCCTCCCAACCCAAAAAAGAAACGGTCAAAGGGCACCTAGCCATTTCCAAACACATCCACTTTCAAGATGGCCAAGCAACTTGGTTGACGTTGAAAGGGGAGCAAAAAAAACATACTTGACAGCAGTTAAGTGGATTTGGATTCCAACCACTAAACCACAAGCAAACATGTAAAATGTGTCCCAAGAACCATGAAGCTAAGGCGTAAATCTAGAACACCCCTCGGACACAAAATTGCCCGGAAGCTGGCCCAGCCTTCGAGGTAAGGGCTCCTGGCGCCGTGGCTCAAAACAAATGTGAGCCATGGTGGACATGGGGAAACTCTGTGAGTTCTTTCGCCCCCTGGCTTGAAATCTTGGTAAGTCCTAGTGCCCCCCCCCCTCCCGGGCTGCCCCTCCCAAATTAAACATATATCAGTATAGACTCTAGTATAGACGTGTTTGATCCAAGCTCATGTCGATCTCGGCTTTTCTGGGAAGACCCCCGACAGGTGTGTGATCAATGTTTCTGCAGCGCAGTAGATCCGCAGGTACTCTGACACATGGATTGAGGAAACCGGCAGAGTTGGGCAAGACTGGACAAGGCATATTCACACGAAACAGTGGTTGGAGACATTCAGTCACCTAGTTGCTCATGAGCACCTACCTTAAAGGGCCCACCCCCGCCCCCATACAAGACGGAAAAACATTGCCCCCGCTTGCAAGACAATGATGTTTCAAAGGAATATCATTGATAGGAACTCAAGCCTCCAAGTTCATCAAGTGTGACAAGGCTCCAAATATGAGACATAGGAATGAGCGTCTTGCATTGTAATATGCAAGTGCATATGACAATGCAAGTGGCTGATTTGTTTCAAGGGACACACCTTCAGCGACTCCTCTGAAAGTCAACAATCATCTGGCCAGCAGTGACCAGCCGTGACCAACCCTAAACATGCTGAGAAGGAATGCTCAGGGGGGGGGGGGGAAGGCCAACTCAGTTGCAGCTCAAGATTGGATTGGCCAAGAACATTTTCCCCTCGCTTCGCCATGCTTCGCTGGCCGCTTTCTGTTTTGCTCCAAGTTAAAACGATTGCGCCGCATGGGAACGATCTCAGCCTCTCAGCCCATAGCGATGCCCTGAATAATCTTGGCGCCCATGTATTTGCCTGCCATGGGGCGAAGGAAGGAACGTCGGTCTCTTTTTTCCCTTGGCCCAGCGAGAGCCTAAGGTCAGGATTTTCTGACGGTTTCTGGTGATCAAAGTCAAAGATGGTGTTGTTTTCTTTTTCCTGGAAAAAGGTTCCACATTTAGGGGGGACTCTAGCTGGAGGAATGAGGCTGGCAAGCTGTGGTGAAATCCATGGGACCCAACACCACACCCTCCGGAACTTGGAATCCACCAGTCCCCTGGACCGGGCGGGAGCCTCATTTCGTGGTTGGTCTTTGGGGGTCAAAGGCCCTCACTTGGGCGTGGGTCAACTCTAAACCATCAGGGCACCGCAGGTGGTAGTCCAAGTGTCCATTTGCCAGGGATCCATTCTCTCTCCCGCGCCGTCGGAATCCGGGTACATATATTTTTGACCAGCCGAAATTTGTTTGGGGACTTGGGCTCCTGGGTGCATATTTTTGACCCACAGCCACTTCTTTGGGGACCTGGGCTTCTTCGCCGAGCGTCGCAAGATCATCAGGTTGTAATTGGTCACGTCGTGCACGGACTCGAAGCAGGCACTGGCTCCGATCCACCAAGTCTTGCGCTGGCCTTGCATCTCCAAAAGGTCCCACACCTTGCCTGGGTGCGGTAACGACCCCCCTGCAAAAAGTGGTTCACCTTTTTGGGGGGTTAGTCTTTTCAAAAAGTTCAAGTCTAAAAATCCGTTGCCCAATAGCAGTCAAGGGTAGAATGGTCCAAGCCCAAAGCCAGGGAACTGAAAACGGCGAAGGCGGCCATGGCAAAAAAATATCGATCCCTGACTAAGCTTCACCTACCTGAATTCTGACTGTGACTCAACCGCCGCAAGAGCTATCTCGCAGGGAGGAAGAACTGGCCTGTTTGCCCGGGAATGGCGCTTGGAAACTTCAACATGCGAGTTTACCCCAAACAAAGGGAGGGGGGGGGGGGGCGCGGGGGGTTGTGGCGAAAACCTGAGGAGTGGCCAGCACCAACTTTTCGCTTACTTCCCCCAATTTGCTCAGGTTCTTCCCTCGGGTGCTTTCTGCTCCACTGCTAAAAAAGTTTAACTTCTAGCAGTTTAATGGAGAACCCATTAGTTGGCAAAATGTGAAAGTCCTAACATCCAAGCAAAATTTCAAAATGCACCATCGCCCGCCTTCTTGAACTGCTTCCTGTGGGAAGTGATGGAAGTACGGCCAGGGGTACTGACCTCAGTTGCTTTCTGCTCCCCTGCTAAAAGTTAACTTTTAGTGGTTTAATACGGAAAACCCACTAGTTGGCAAAAAGTTAAAGTCCAAACATCCCTGGCAAACTGCACCGAAGCGGCGCAAGGTGTTCACGCCGCTCACATTTTGCCGCTCCAACTCGCCCCTGAACTGCCGCAGCGCCCGCTCCGAGGACTCCATGGCGCCGCCCTCGTTGGGCGTGCGGTCGCTGTTGCACATCATATCTCCGCCCTGGCAATAGTTCCTCAGCACGCTCCGCGCACGCGTCAAGCGACAAAGCACACGTCAAGCGACCCGAGGAAACCCAGCCAAGTGAGCAACCATCGGGCATGTTGTTTTTTCGCGCGGCGTCAAGCCCCAAAAGAAGGGCCGGACCAAAAGAAACCCATGGGAAAAATCGGCCGGCTGCGGACCAAGTTTCTCATAGAATTGATACCCCACCCGCGTCTGACGGCCAGTGATCGGCTGCCCGAAAATCAAGTCATCCCAGCGGTCAGCGTACCAGGAACCATCGTGACTTGGCCCAGACATCTTGTCTGCTTCGTACATGATCGGTCGCCTCGCTGAGTCAGTGTAGTCCAGAACTGGCTCACTTGAATACAGCGTGGTAGCCAGGACGAAACTTTTCAGGCTTGAGAAAATGCTTTCTTCTTGAATGGCCACATCCTTCACAAAGTTCTTGGCATGCGCATGAGGGGCGCTGTAAATCAGAAAGTCGTACTCCTCTTCGATCACCTCGTTCTTGCCCTTCTGGCGGTACTTGATTCTTACAGGCGCAGAGGGATCATCCAGCTGCCGGTCGATGCCCTGGTCCAAAATCTCGACCCCATAGCGGACATCCAAGCCGTCCTTCTCCGCAATGGTGGTCCAAATCTTTTGGTATCCTGGCACAACTGCATTCTGGCTTTACATCTGAACCTGTAAGCTGGTTGGCGCGCAGTCGCTTAAACAAAAATGCGCCAGGCGTGTGTCCGTTGTTTTTCACCTGCCCCTGGTGGATTTATTTTTTCAATGGAAATGTACATGACTGGCAACGGTGTCATTTATCAGCGGTGCCTGTTTGCCAGGGACTCGCAAGGAACACCACATCTTCGAGAGACAAAGCTTATCTTTGGTGGCCATGCCCTCACGGAACTCCTGGTAACTCCTTCTCTCCCTCTCAAAAGAACAACTTTGGATATCCCCAGCTCCGCAACGGCCCTTCCGATTCCCGTCAGCAAACTCACTTCCTGAGTGGACTGGCAACCAAAAAGCCTCTTTCGATTTAGCGCCAAACCCCAACAGCTACATGCTAAGCTCAAGAAACGAGAACGATTGAAAATACAGGGTCCTCAATCCTAATCCATAATCTCTATAGGGAAACCACTAGAAAAGGGACCCAAAGGTGCTTAGAGTCTGCCAGTCTCTCTCGTCCTTCGGGCAGCATGGTGGTGGTCCTCTTCACCACATCGGCGGCGCCTCCGACGATGGCGGTCACTACGGCACGCACCCAGGTGCCCCGAATTTGCTGGAAGAACTCGCTCTTGGGGTCGTAGAATTTCTCCAACTCCTGCCGAAAAAGGTGCGTTTTTGAGGGAAGGCACATGGAGAACCACGAATTTTGCGGGGTCACCAATTCCGCCACGAACCCGAAAAGGGAAGACAAACAGCCCTGCCCTCCCCTTGGTTCTTCTGTCAAAGGCAAATCAGGGGACTCCTGATGGTATAGGTATTGTTTCCCTCTGCTCGTCTGTTCCTGGTTACTGCTCAAACTTGCCAAAAGAAGAATGAGCACTGCGG